AAACATAAATACCGGTACATGTAAAATAATTATATAAACTGAAACAAGTTATTTCAACGTATATTAATCACGCCTGTTGGCCCGGATGTTATCGCGCGGGTTCTTACATGTAATAGGTATACAAATGTAATATACACATTGATGGCAAACGATACCGTGTTAGATGTATAATAAAATCAATCAATCGATCAATCAGTAAATCAATCAATTAACAAATCAGTTCCGTTTATTCCTTTCTGTAAATAAGATTTTGAAATATAATAATAAAAATAAGATGAACTACATTAGAATAAATAAAGTCAGTTTTCAGGTCGCCATAATAAAAAAAACATTCTTGAAATAGATAGGTAAATGAATATATAACATGAACTAACAAACCAACTTACAAAATGTATTAAACAATATACATGTAGTTACTTTCTTGTCAAAAATATACTTGGCTGCGATAGAAGTTCATTTGCCTTTTCTACGTAAAATACATTTGCATCCCTGGTGGGAGAAAACTGCGTAGTCTTTTGCCTGATAAGGCGTCTAAAAATCTGTTAATGAGACAAATTAGTCAAGCACACACCCAATTCTTCGTCACCTTCTTTGCAGTAATGAATATCAACTCTTCGTTCTGACATGTAGATGTTTCATATTTTCATCAATCCCACCAGAAGGTGTTTATTGATATGTACATGTATTATACAATGTACATAAGGTTATTTATTCCATTAATTAAAACAATACATCTAAACCTGGCTTAATCCTTTTGTTTACGCTCCCTAATATCTATTGTGTATATATATGGGCATCGCCAATGAAGATTTAAAGACATGCTTACATGTAACGTTTTGTGAAGCGGGGTGGTTGCCTTCTCGATAAAGTTGCATTAACACAAATGCATTTACATTGTGTAAGTTCACTAATTAACATGGCCATTGTTAAACATACAGTACCAATCACTATATAAGTATTTGCATGTATCATGTAAATCACGTGCCAGCCCACGTCATAACACGGGGTATGTCGTTGCATGAATTGATCAATTTTGGAGTACTCAATTTATAGACAATGCATGTAAAACGAATTTATTGGAAGATTGTAAGAATTGATTTAAAATATAAATACAATGACCGAACGATGTTTCTATCTGTTGTCTTAGTCTACTTCGTGTGTGATAGCATAGGAGTTTATACCACAATGACACTCGTGACATTGTTCATGTATGTTACCCGTATACAAACTTAACAAGTATAGAAAGCCGTATGAATATTATAGATCAATAGAGCCCACGTAACAGTGTACCTTGATCAATAGACAAAATTAGTCGTCGTTTTGTTAACTAATACAAAAGAAAATGGAAATAAAAAAGCAATAGAAGCGGAAAAATTGCTCGACCAGACTAGGGTGCGAACCCCGGACCCTCCGAACTCTAGACGGACGCTCTATCAATTGAGCTACCTGGTCGCCGATGATCGGCCCAGTCCAGTTCCGCTACAAAACATATGTCTTGAAATTGGACTTAAATTGACATGATTACGACTGAAGACATTGACCGATGGGTATGTTTGTGTTTGATGAGTGTTTGACTCTTACACTCCAACATGTATGATATGCATGCATATACTGAGTTGATTGGTTAAATTTGCTATTACCAAATAAGGAAACGTGGCTAATCGAATGCGGGAGTGAATTTCACATCCATCATCGAGTACAGCTGAACCCCGGTGTATGTCGACATCGGTCTTCATCAGTGGAAATTAGGAAATATTACAGAAGTATTAATAATTAACCTCACCCCAGTATACCAGGACAACACGTATTGAACTAGTGGCTTCTGTGGTGCGGCTCGCAACGTAAACTGTTTATATATATATTGGTTGGCACACACAATACATACCGCAATTATCGGGCAAAAGGATATCGGTCGTATAACGGTCATATTAATGGCGATGTGTTTATATATAAGTAACACTATCATAATCCAATGTAATATTTATGGACTGCTTTTTCCTGTTTCCTTTATATAACATTAACACCTGACTAGTGTGTCAATATGGTAAAGGTTGTGTATATTGTTTATAATTTATCACGTAGGTATATCGAGTAATATTCACTGATCATTTTCTATAATCCATTGTGCTGTTTATATGATAATACTCCTAGATATTACATTAACGATTTCGGTATATATTGCTATATAAGCTTAGCATTAATGTCCACAGACCATTTATTGGGACTTCCGTGCCGTGGTCATTCTTAGGGATCTGCTATCTTAAAAGGGCAATAAATCAGACACATCCTCACGCGGGAGGCGACCAGTGGTAAGTGGCTCTATGCTAAGCCTCTTATTGACCAAGTGATCTGATTGGTATTCCCGCTCCTGCCTATCTCAAATAATTGCTGTCAATTGACTATCTTTGTCCGAGTGTTGACCAATGACCTTATCGGTAGGATTTTATATTAGGGAAGCATACAAAATGTCGCCGGATGTCGTTAACTTGATATCCTGCACATAATTTGATGTTTGTGGTACATCATTCTGATATCCTGCCCCCTACCCAATCCGCAATGTTTTTGGTAGTATATACACGCACCTATCTAATTTTGTTATCTCCCTTGGATTTTATTATCTGACAAAATAGTTTCGTGTACGGAAACACTTATCAATATTTAGTTCGGTCAGTGTCGACGACATACTACACATCAACTCTCTTTCAAACACGTGAAATAGCGGACAAGTCCGGTGCTGTCCGCCTTATACGATGTATGGCTTGGCATTGCCAACACTTTGCGCTGTGCGGGACACTGTAAATAATTTACAGAGTCTGATAAATCTTAATTGGAAGTGTTTGGCAACAATTTTGTCTACAATTTATATACAACGTTTACCAATCTTTTAGAAAAAAACCACGACAACTAAATTGATAAATTTTCCAAGTTCGCTTTTTTGAAAACATGCACAAATTGATAAACACTCTCGGAGGACAAAGTCGGATTAAGGGTCATTGTAAAGGGAAATGTCGTACTAATTGGCAAGTCGTACCAACGGGAAAAGTACATTGTACTAAAGTGGTGAAGCAGTACGAAAGGGCATGGTAGTACATAGTACCACGGTACAAAGTCGTACGTACTACCAAAGAGTAAAGTCACACATTGTTCTAACGGGAAAAGTCTCACGTAACAAGGGGGACCATCGGTATAATTTAAAAGGAATTATTTGCAGTTTGTAGGTAGAACGTTGTCATACAGTATAGTTCCTCTCGTGTATCATGCTATTTTCAGCCGTTTTGAAAGAAAAATAACGAAAATGGCAAGATTTACTAGAGAAAAAGTGTTTGTGTTGAAAATGATACCAAAGATGACGTAACAACTACAATTGTAAGCGAGGAGATGATAACGGTGCCGTCTTCCGGTCTGTCGCCAAAGCCGCATTTTAACGCAATATAAACAATAAAAACATTAGAAAAGACATTAAACATGGGAACAGTCACCATTAACATATGTAAAACATGTCAACAGGTACAGAAAACGAGGCATACAAATGTCGCTTTATTCGATTCCAGGTATGGCTATATTTTTTCTGAAAGACAAATTAACGCAATTTTTCATAGAACGTACGGTTCGAGCGGGCCTGTAATAGGTTTATACGATACTTCCGGTACTCGTTGCAAACTAAATTTGTAAGTGTTCTATAATGACAATGGTAAATAAAAGTCGGACATTCGACGGGCATCGCTGTAAATTGATCACAACGGTGAACTTTGACAGAAGTAGTCTCTACCAGACATAGTCGGGGGCTGGACAGACGTCACTGTTGAATGACAGTCAGATGTTCAACAGAAATCATTTTTGTATGACACAGTCGGATGTTTGACAGAAGTTATTTTCATATGACACAGTGGGATGTTCGACAGAAATCATTTTTGTATTACACAGTCGAACGATTAACAGAAATCATTTTTGTATGACAGTAGGACGTTGGACAGATGTATTTTTGTAGGACACAGTCGGACGTTCGACAGAAATCATTTTTGTATGACAGTTGGACGTTGGACAGACGTATTTTTGTATGACACAGTCGGACGTTCGACAGAAATCATTTTTGTATGACAGTTGGACGTTGGACAGACGTATTTATGTATGACACAGTCGGACGTTCGACAGAAATCATTTTTGAATGACAGTTGGACGTTGGACAGACGTATTTTTGTATGACACGTCGGACGTTACACAGACCTCAGTGTCCTAAGTCAGACAATACTATTTAGTCATCAAAAGTCACGTGTTGATTAATTCAGTCGGCCTGGTCAATGGTATATAATTTTCGGAGCAGGTGTTTTTGACCCGACATCACTGTACAATGTAATAACACAAACCAGCGCGCAATATTTGATCCGAGTCTCCCTCCCACTGGAGGGGTGGGCCCTGCTCCCTGTGGTAGAGCAGTGGGAATCGTCTCTGTCAGCTTCCAAACCAAACATCGCACGAGAGCGCGCGGGATCAATACATGCTGCTACGTACAAGCTTAATGTGACCACTCATTAACAAGACCCAGCTAGTTTTGCCAAACTCACTCTAAGTATGTGTTGTCATTGTATTTTTTTTTTTTTAATAATGTGTCGCTTTGCAGTTGCTATCGTCTAGAGCAACAAATACGACGGTAATTTTAGATTAATGGTTCAATATTGCAGTGAAATTCCTAACTCGATGATTATGGCACTCCACGAGGAGATAAATGTACATGTACGTAGTAGTGGCTCTCCATAGTCCCTCTTCCCATCACCCAGCGTGTCTCTATATACTCTTATCTCTCTACCTGTATTTTTATGATGTTGGAGGATCTAAAGTTCATCCGCCTCTGAGAGCGTCGTCATACAGGAGTCATTCAGTTTATATATATATATATATATATATATATCATCTATACATTCTATATTGTCTATAAATCCCCGCTTCGGCTCCAGCTCAGCGAGATGAAGTCACCTGGCGCTCTATCGCCTGATGGCCCAAACCTTACCACAGATGGCAATGCGCTGTACCGCACTAGTCCAGCTTTAACGCATTAATATTGAAAGAATGCTTTTCGCTTAATTTCTTACAGGTTCTACTCCGTTAAGGATGTTAGTGAATTTGAAACACTAGTGACTCCTCGTCCCAAGAAAGGCTGTGTGTGGTAATTCTCTGGCCGTATGGCTGAGGGTGTTGTGGCTACACTATTAGCGAGATCAACAGCATACCTTAGCGCAATTCTCGGAGAGCGTCTACCACTGACGGAGACCCACCTTGGTGAGTAGGGCAACTTTTTCGTGGGATCTTTGTCATTGAGAGTCTTGTGTCGCGGAGAGTCTTGTGTCCATGGGATTGTTGGTGTCGTCCGAAGAGTAGTGTCTGCAGGAAAATTATAACTATGGGATTTGGATTCAGGTGCCTCTCATAAATAGCCTGAAGGCAGTTCACGGAGAATAGGTGTTGTGACGTTTTGGCTTGCTTTGAAAACATATTTTTGGATATAATACGTCACAGGAAAAATTGTGTTTATTCATCATGCTGTTCTACCGCCATTTCTGGATAGCTGGATTCTCAGGTAAGTTATTGTAAATTATATTTTATATTCATCAACTGTAGAAAAAATAATTGATGCCATAATTTGATAAATGAATGTAGATACGGGCCCGACAGAGATGATGATCGACCGGCAGATCGCTGGGTGTACATTCTTATGTAACTGTACATTTATTGGTTGCGTTTTACCTTACACGTGTGTTTTTACTGGCGGTCTATCGTGATTTACACACAGTTCGATAACATCTTTATTACACTGTTGTACCTTTCTCCTGGGAAACATGATTTACTTCGCATCATCATGCTATTACAATATAATTACGTTGGTGATTTTTGTCCGTAAATCATCAACGCAGGGGCAATCCACATGCAAGTGATTGATGAAGATGATATAGTGTCCTCTGGTATAGACGCCGTCTTCTTACAGGTGCAGCATTGGAACAAATACCTCATTCTTACAGGTGTAAACTTTGGAAATGGTGCTGTCTACCTGTAGGTGTAACCTTTTTATAGGTACTGTCCACTTACAGGTATTTTAGTATAGGTGCCGTTTTACAGGTGTACATACACATGTGGGTAAGAACAAATGGTTTCAGGTTAAAATTAGGTTGCATAATTTGATAACATATTTCTCTATTTTAACAATTTTACGCTAGAGATATGAAAATACAATAAAAAGATATTTCATCATCAGATATAATTCTGAGAATTTACTGTCTAAAATGAACCTGTCCCATATGTCGGAATCGCCCGAAAGTTTTAATGATTTTAAAAAGACATGTTTTTTTTATGTATGTACTGAAACATATGACAATTTTAAACGGCTTAGTAACTATACATAACCCATCTGTTACCAAAACATTTTCAATGGTTCCCTTGTGTTACTTGGCCCGTTGACATTTGTACATTTGTATATATATAGATAGTTGAATGAATTATTTTCATTTTTATCAGCCAAGAAAAAAAGGTTAAAAGAAAAACAACCTAACTACATGTATATAAAGAGTAAAAAGTATCCTTTATTAAAATCATATTAATTTTGAGTGGAACCGCCACTACGTTATCATAGAAAGATCGGCTCTGATTGTAGATACGTCATATACCAATATGTTCTGCAAGCAAAAAAAGAAACACTCCCTCCCCAATAAATACCAATGTATGTGATATTTGCAAACATTTATAATTAAAGGCGTTAAGGCGCAATTACTTTCCTAACATCTAAAGATGATATAACATTAAACCAATTCTAAAATGCGTCATGTACCTACCTAGTACCTAGTGCGATATGTCAAACCTGGGCATTCTCGCCATGACGGATTCATATGTAATTAAAAATTCTTTCTGTCTCAGGAAATTTAGTGCTTGCATTATAACTAAAAGATATAATTGTCCATAATATTTCAATAGCTTGTCATATATTCCTCCATAGAAAGCGTCTCACCCCAGGATCATTTGGGAGGAGATTTCAGCTCGATTGTATAATTATTATTCTCCCAGGCATATAAAACTTCCAGATTGACGATAAGCGCTCCAGAGATGGTGTTCTACACGCCTCTTAAACAAGAAATCGGCAGTAGTTGTATCACATCTGTTTTGAGAGATTATCATGTTTTGAGAGGTCACATTGTACATGTATCTAAGATGGCATAACAGGATTACGAGCGCGTGAAGACAGAGCGAGCTCTGTACTGGAATTCAGGACTATTATTGAACATCTTCCTTGTTATTGTTTAAGGAAAACTAATGAAATGAAAAAAATCTAAATTGTTTTCAAATGAGGTTTTAAAGGACGAGCTCCCAATGTATGTTAAAAGTGTGATCAACAAGGCTGGATTAGATAAAACGAAAGATTTGGCATGAAAAGAAAATATCTGAAGTTGTATGCAAGATAGACGAGTTTAGTATCTAATATACAGGTACAAGTACAAGTGCTCCGATAATAACACATATTAATTCTCGTATTTCCGGATCATTTTACAACATCCCGCCTCTACGATTAGTTTGTTTGTCTAACTACCTTCTCAAGTGGATTGACACTGTGGTACTAATCATCATTTTAAATATCTCCGAAAATTGATATTGTTTAGGTTCGAAATCTATATTAGATTGTGTATACATGTACGACTCTTACCTCTAATTGCCGGTGTAGAATTCAGCTTATGGCCGTTTTTCTCTGTCTCTGTCTCTCAAAGTAATTTGTTAAAAATGTCTGATGCTGTTATCGATGCGAAAGCAAACTGTTAATACCTTGTTGAGATAATTGTTTCTCGGCTCAGACGTTTGGTTGGACAATGCTTGATAGGACGTCGATGGGGATGCTGGACAATCTAATTCTTGGCTCCGAGTCGAATATTTAAGTACATACTCTTTGAAACCGAGTCGTACGTTTAATTGATTAAGATCTTTTAGAAACCGAGTCGAACGTTTAATTGATTAATATCTCTTTGAGACCGAGTCGTATTTTTAATTGATTAAGATCTCTAAGAAGGTCTCGTAGAAACCGAGTCGTATGTTTAATTGATTAGGATGTTTTTGAAACCGAGTCGTATGTTTAATTGATTAAGATCTCTTAGAAGGTCTCGTAGAAACCGAGTCGTATATTTAATTGATTAGGATCGTTTAGAAACCGAGTCGTATGTTTAATTGATCAGAATATTTTAGAAATTAAGTCGTATGTTTAATTGATTAGGATATTTTAGAAACCGAGTCGTATGTTTAATTGATAAGGATATTTTAGAAATCGAGTCGTATGTTTAATTGATTAGGATATTTAAGAAACCGAGTCGTATGATTAAAAGAATGGTGTCCGATCTCTACACCAGTGACCCTATCTCATAGGGTTTTCCTTGTCCGATCTCTACTCCAGTTACCCTATATAATAGGGTTTTCCTTGTCCGATCTCTACTCCAGTTACCCTTTATCATAGGGTTTTCTTTGTCCGATCTTTACTCCAGTTACCCTATATCATAGGGTTTTCTTTGTCCGATCTCTACTCCAGTTACCCTATCTCATAGGGCTTTCCTTGTCCGATCTCTACTCCAGTTACCCTATATAATAGGGTTTTCCTTGTCCAATCTCTACTCCAGTTACCCTATATAATAGGGTTTTCCTTGTCCGAACTTTACTCCAGTTACCCTATATAATAGGGTTTCCTTGTCCGATCTCTACTCCAGTTACCCTATATAAAAGGGTTTTCCTTGTCCGATCTCTTCTCCATTGACCTTATATCATAGGGTTTTCCTTGTCCAATCTCTTCTCAGTGACCCTATAGCATAGGGTTTTCCTTGTACAATCTCTACTCCATTAACCTTATATCATAGGGTTTTCCTTGTCCGATCTCTACTCCAGTTACCCTATATCATAGGGTTTTCCTTGTCCAATCTCTTCTCCAGTGACCCTATAGCATAGGGTTTTCCTTGTCCAATCTCTACTCCATTAACCTTATATCATAGGGTTTTCCTTGTCCAATCTCTTCTCCAGTTACCCTATATAATAGCGTTTTCTTTGTCCGATCTCTACACCAGTTACTCTATATCATAGAGTTTTCTTTGTCCAATCTCTTCTCCAGTTACCCTATATAATAGGGTTTTCCTTGTCCGATCTCTACTCCAGTGTCCCTATAGCATAGGGTTTTCCTTGTCCAATCTCTTCTCCAGTTTCCCTATATAATAGCGTTTTCTTTGTCCGATCTCTACACCAGTTACTCTATATCATAGAGTTCTCTTTGTCCAATCTCTTCTCCAGTTACCCTATATAATGGCGTTTTCTTTGTCCGATCTCTACACCAGTTACTCTATATCATAGAGTTTTCTTTGACCAATCTCTTCTCCAGTTACCCTATATAATAGGGTTTTCCTTGTCCGATCTCTACTTCAGTTACCCTATATAATAGGGTTTCCTTGTCCGATCTCTACTCCAGTGACCCTATATCATAGTGTTTTCCTTGTCCGATCTCTACTCCAGTGACCCTATATCATAGGGTCTTCCTTGTCCGATCTCTACTTCAGTTACCCTATATAATAATGTTTTCCTTGTCCGATCTCTACTTCAGTTACCCTATATAATAGGGTCTCCTTGTCCGATCTCTACTCCAGTGACCCTATATCATAGGGTTTTCCTTGACCGATCTCTACTTCAGTTACCCTATATAATAATGTTTTCCTTGTCCGATCTCTACTTCAGTTACCCTATATAATAATGTTTTCCTTGTCCGATCTCTACTTCAGTTACCCTATATAATAGGGTTTTCCTTGTCCGAACTTTACTCCAGTTACCCTATATAATAGGGTTTCCTTGTCCGATCTCTACTCCAGTGACCCTATATAATAGGGTTTTCCTTGTCCGATCTCTCCTCCAGTGACCCTATATCATAGGGTTTTCCTTGTTCAATATCTTCTCCATTGACCTTATATCATAGGGTTTTCCTGGTCCAATCTCTTCTCCAGTTACCCTATATAATAGGGTTTCCTTGTCCGATTCTCATAGGGCTTTCCTTGTCCGATCTCTACTCCAGTTACCCTATATCATAGGGTTTTCTTTGTCCGATCTCTACTCCAGTTACCCTATATCATAGGGTTTTCTTTGTCCGATCTCTACTCCAGTTACCCTATATCATAGGGTTTTCTTTGTCCGATCTCTACTCCAGCTACCCTATATCATAGGGTTTTCCTTGTCCAATCTCTACTCCAGTTTCCCTATATCATAGGGTTTTCTTTGTCCGATCTCTACTCCAGTTACCCTATATAATAGGGTTTTCCTTGTCCGATCTCTTCTCCAGTGACCCTATATAATAGGGGTTTCCTTGTCCAATCTCTACTCCAGTGACCCTATATAAAAGAGTTTTCCTTGTCCGATCTCTACTCCCGTTACACTATATAAAAGTGTTTTCCTTGTCCAATCTCTTCTCCAGTTACCCTATATAATAGGGTTTCCTTGTCCGATTCTCATAGGGCTTTCCTTGTCCGATCTCTACTCCAGTTACCCTATATAAAAGGGTTTTCCTTGTCCGATCTCTACTTCAGT